AGCGCTCCCTCTTCTGACTAAATGCATTGCAGTGCAGCACGAGTACATGTATGAGCGGATATATTATTTTATGTTGCTCATTAAAAGAGGTAAGGCTGTTGACAGTATGACGTTTATGAAAGACAGTTATACGGGTTCGCCTTGACTTAAAACTGTGAACAACTGTGAAACGCCAACTGCAAATCAACCCCACTAGTGAGGTTTGCATCTGAAAGCAATACGTTTGCGGTTAATGTAGAAATGAATGCCCACAGAAGATATTAAAAGCATTGGAGATTTCAGGTAAATAAGGTAATCCCCAATTCACTTTACTGTTCTAAAATCCGCAACGCTTGACGTTGTATTCTCACATACATGAACTAGGAAAAGTGCTTGCTGCTTCTGCTAATGCCACTTCTGTTATATGAACAATACATGCTTAGTAATTACTCCTCACGCGAATAACCTGCACGTAGTTTTATAACTTGTATTCCGTCTATTCCTCAAAAACCAAATGAATTCTGCATTGTATTACTGAAATGATTCTGGGTGCACTGCAGCATTATACATGCATACATGCGTGCATGCCTGAAGATGCTGGAATATAAATCCCCCTCTGACTGACTGCCTTCTAGCGTGACTATTTCTGTGACCTCGTGCTGAATGTGTTAATAACTAAAACATGAACTTTTGGTTGGGTGTTTGCTGGCTCGGTGCCATGACGGACAGAGTGCTCCACCAACACTCTGCCGAATCCATAGTCACCCATATCATTTGCCTTCTGAGAGGGAACAGTGACATGCACTCTTCTCCATATCTCCAAGGGCAAAGGATACATCTACACTCAGAATAGATATCCACTGGACAGAATGAGAGTGAGCTCCAGGAGCTGTTGGCGTGGACCTACTTTGATGTGTCGTGTAATATTTATGTGCTGTTTCTCCATGCTGGGCAAATAGAATCTGACCTTGAGCCCTACTTAAATTGCCCAGTGTGGTGAAAATTTGTTTGTTTCCTATTATGCTACAATGGGGATGCAGAACCTTTAAAGTGATGGAAATGGAAGGAGACTGCATACTACGGAAAGCGATGATGGAGCTTTTGTTGGAAATTAAGTAAGATGCGTCTTCAGAATGTTGAAAGATCCAGTTCAAGCAAAATACATCAAATTGGATTTTTGAAAACAACTGGACCCACCTGAAATGTCTAAATATGAGTCAATAAAACACAAGCCAGGGGAAAATGTAAAACAACAAAAATTACAGTGGTGTGCAAACAGCAGTCAATAAAGCATTTGATCATAGCAATTTGGACTCTGAAATTCGGTTCTCCAGTCAAGCACTTTATAAAATAGATTATTTTAAATGCAAACAGCTTTACACTATTAAAGATGAATAAACAGTGTCAGTTTTGTTTTCAATTAGAATTACAATTTAATTTCCACTATCAAGAACACCCCACTGTTTTCATGTTTATACTCACATCTGTTCTAAATCACCTCACATTGGTTTTTTCTTCATTTTCGCTTAAAATATAATGGGGCCTTTAACTTCGTTCACGCGAGCCCTTGTATATTTCTATCATGGACTTGTGATGCACCATAACAATAAATCAATAGATTTACAGTGTTCTCTGATGCAGCATAAACTCTAGCCAAACACAGTAAATCAACGAACAATTAAAGTGATCTCTTCAGTGTAAACCAGTCAAGCACTGTGAATGTGACAAGAAACAGGACAAGATAGATAGATAGATAGATAGATAGACTGTAAAAATTAATAATGGGTCTTGTTATTTCCATTTAAAAAAAAAGGAGATAATTAAAAAACAGTATGTGTATTTTATTAAATAAATTGTGTTTTAGTGTTGTATAGAAAATATTGAGAACTTTTCACTAATAAAACCAAAATATTATGTTTTCCTAATTTTTTTAAGACACTTGAGCAGTATTGAAGTTTGAACTGAGGAACTGATTAAACTGAAAGAAAAAAAATAAATAAGGAAGGAAGGAAGGTTACCTATTTATTGTAAGATAATTAGCTACATTTTGCAGTTTTATTTTGTAAGTGATTGTTAGTTCCCAGCTGTCACAGTTCTGCTGGTGTGACCTAGTTGGCCACCAGATGTCACTGTGTGTTTGTTTGAGCACATGGCTTGCCACAGACATATCACCCTGCAGCCCAAGACTAGTTGCCCACTGAAGCTAAGCAGGGTTGAGCCTGGTCAGTACATGGATGGGAGACCTCCTGGGAAAACTAGGTTGCTGTTGGAAGAGGTGCTAGGTGGGCCAGCAGGGGGTGCTCACCCTGTGGTCTGTGTGGGTCCTAGTGCCCCAGTATAGTGATGGGGACACTATACTCTAAAAAGCACCATCCTTTGGATGAGACGTTAAACCGAGGTCCTGACTCTCTGTGGTTATTAAAAATCCCATGGCACTTCTCGTAAAAGAGTAGGGGTATAACCCCAGTGTCCTGGCCAAATTGCCACCACTGGCCCTTGTCTATCATGGCCTCCTAATAATCCCCATTCACAGAATTGGCTCTATCTCTCTCTCCTCTCCACCTATAGCTGGTGTGTGGTGAGCGCACTGGCGCCGTTGTACTGTGGCTGCCGTCGCATCATCCAAGTGGATGCTGCACACTAGTGTTGGTTGAGGAGAGACCCCCCCACATGATTGTAAAGCGCTTTGGGTGTACAGCAGTAAACAATAAAGTGCTATATAAATGCCTCATTCATTCACATGGCTTGTTGTGTGTTTGTTGGTGCCATATGCTCTCCTGTCTATTGTCTTACCCCACCCTTCTTGTTATCTCATTATTGTTTTAGTTACTCCACCTGTGTCTCCCTCGTTAACCTTGTCATTTGTCTCCCTATTTTTTACGCCCAATTTCACTGCTGCTGCCCTTATCAAGAAGGCTGTCTTTGCCTTTCACCTCAGGGCTGTTCTGAGGGCATGGGCCACTTCGGAGTTTGCTCTGGCTTCCCAGGAGCCTTCAGAGTCCACTCCAGAGCCTGCTCCAGTCCAGGAGCTCTCGGAGTCCACTCAAGAACCTGCTCCAGTTTGGGAGCCTTCAGAGTCCACTCAAGAACCTTCAGCCTTCAGAAGTCTTCAGCCTTGTCTTCTGGCCCACCATCCCTCCCCCTGATCCGCCTCCGGTCCACCTCCCTCCTGGACTTTTTGTTTTCTATTTTACTAGGTGGGGCATCTGGAATCTGCTCCTTAAAGGGGAGTGGGCCTCCGGAGCAGACCGAGATCCCGCAGCTCTTCGGCGTGCGCAGAGTTTAACTCTAAAAATGTGGTTCTGCCGACATCGAGCAGAAACTCACGACTATATGCGCGCTTAGAAACAAATAGACGCGACAAATACATACAAAAACACTGCGACTCACAAGACAAAAAACACGAAAACACCTTTCTGTCGGGAGATGGCAGCGTGTGAACGCGCCGCCATCTTGGTTCAAGAAATACTGATTGAGAAGCTAATATTTACGTTGCAGGATGCGCTTTTATACTTCCTGGTTGCTCACATCACCACGCTCGTAACGTCTCGCTTCTCTATTTGACTGATTTTATACATGCCTCAGAACGTGGTTTCGTTCCAAAAGCGTTTCGACACAGTGGCTACGTTTACATGCACAATTTTTTGGTACAATCAGACTGAATTAATTACGATTGATGAATCTGAATGTAGTGTTTACATGAACGCTAAATAAAGTGATCAGGTTGATGTTCACGTTTCTATGTCACAAGCTTCAAATCGGGATTGATTTTTTTGGACATGTGCACACTGCACAAATATAGAGTTTATCACTGTTTGCACATAATAACCACTCTCCTACATAGTTTCTTTATTTGCTTTTAACAGCAGAATTAATATTTATCCATTTATGGATAAATATACATATAAGCCGCTGTGCCGAGCTGCTCATATTTATCACGCAGTAAAAATGCCCCTCCCCACACCCAAAATGGGTTGCCTGTGGATGAGAATCTAAAACAAGGACTGGTGGGAGGTTCTCCTGCTCCACTGCACAGTTGCATGGTTTTATAATGACAGGACACGCATTTATACAACACTTTATTCAAAAGAAAGAACCGCTCGTTCCCCACGTCATATGTCATTACGCTATTTCTGCATCATTGCACATGCACAGTCCTTTCAGTTTCGGGGTTCAATCCGATCAAGTGTTTACACAAACTCTCAATCGTATTAGAAAAGGAATAGACCACCCCCTTCAATTCGATCGAAATTTCATTCCGATCGAGCTCAATCCGATCGATTAAGGTGTTTACATGAAGGCTTTTCAGTCCGATTGAGCCATAAATCTGATTACAAATGGATTATTTGGTTGCATGTAAACGTAGCCATTGTCTCGTTCCCTTCAGGGAACCATGGTTACATACGTAACCTGGAGACATTTCCCATGTTTGTTTCAGGAGTGAGCCAGTCGTCTGAATGATTTTCACACAGACATTTGCATAACATGCACACACATTTTTGCTCACAAATAAATGCTGTGCAACAATGTGACTTGAAATGACTAGGCAATGGTTTATATGCAATTACCATGACAATTACCCAACATACAGAGCTGAATTAGCAAAATTGCAAATAAAAGCCTGAAGAGTGTATACAAGGACAACTAATTGTCACTTGTTAAGTTAAATTAGGATGTTTTTTTTAACCCCAGAATGTAAAGAAAGGGGAAAAAAATGGTAAAGAGCAGTTTAAAGTAAGAGGAAGGGGAAATGAGAGGGGGTAATGATGGAGTGAGACAAGTCTTCCAGAGATTGATTCGTCAACTCATTGGCTTTCCTGTCCAGATTACTGTCAGCTTTACTACTTTGATCTCTCTGCCAAAACTCATTTCAAACATCTAAAGTCACATATCTGCCACTCTATATGTCTATGTGAGAGAGAAAAAGAAAGAAAGACTCAGAGTAATTGTGTCTCTTTACTCCCGACCTCTAACACCTCTACATTTGAACTTGCCCGTACCATCAACCCATTTTTTGATCTACCCTGCTGAAGTAGTCCAGGTTAACTCTTCTAGCTGGGACGCAAGTGTCTGCCATTGATCCAGGATTAGCTTAGAGTCTACTCCAGCTCTGTATTAGCATTCTGAAAGAGATAATGGCTTGGAATTGAGGATGATGCAAGATGACTGAGTCACTGCTGGATTCAGATGCAATCTGAATGCAATTCAAAGATTCACATGTCCATATTTGGAAGTTCTTCTTTTCTTGCCATAGATAAGATAAAAAATATACAAGGGCAAAAACAGGGCAAAGTTGAATATTTACAGTCTAGTTATTTGCTTAAGGCAAGAATGGACAATTAGTTCCACATGATTTCGACAAGAAGGACAGGTTCCTGTTTGGTTTGTGGTTCATACCAGTGTGACATTGTCTTCTTTAGTGACACATGGGTAAAGATTATTATACAGTAGCATTTTGCGAGTTAAATGTCTTTACATTCATATCTAGATATAGACTTTGATATTATTTAATTCATTATATATATATATTTATTTATTTATTATTGTTTTTATTTTTTTCGGTCATTCACAGAGCCTGTAGAACATTATTTATTTACTTATTTATTTATTTTATTGATTTATTATTTTTCCTTATGTATGTCTGTTATAGTGGTGTGGAAATTTTCTCTCGTAACACAATAATACTTAAAGTAAAAATAAACAGACTTCTCTGCATTGTGACATCCCTGCATAACACTAACAATGCAAAGGCCATGGGTTCATGGGTTTAGAACATAGGCCTACATATTGATAAATTATATATGCTGAATTTCCTGGAGGTTGCCGCCAGATGCATTAAAAATACAGATAACTTATTTTAAATTCATGTCTATTTATAGATGTAGCTTTCACTATAGATGGGTTTCTTCTCATCTACATGCATAAACAATGCAACAATTGTGCCATTAAAAGATCAAACCAACAAGTACCAAAAAGAAAAAGAAAAAAAGATGCTGGGTACCTTCATAGTGCAGATGAATTGTCGAAATACAGGATCATGTTTTTTGTTTACAGGATTGTTTGTGTTTTCTAATATTATAAACTCACAGTATAATCAGAAATGTTTTTACATTAACCCAACAATTGCAAATTTCCAATAAATGTATAAGAATGTCACTGAAAAAAATCATACTAAATATTAGAAGTAGTTAGTAGGGATGGGACTGCAGTATATATGTTTGACAGTAATATTGCAGCAGAAGCAAAAAAATAGATGATGATCCAGGAACATGTCATCAAGGTAAAATCATGGTAATCTACTGTAGCTACTACTGTTGCATTTCATGAAGTCTGACACTTTGAGGCAAATTAACTTCACTGCTCTTGGAAGTGAAGTGATCACAATGATCCACACAGTTGTCTACAGACTTCTGTATAATGAAGCTTGAAGGGACTTCCTTTGCCAGATCCAAAGACAAATCTCAGCCATGCTAGCTGTGTGTAGGAGCAGAAGCATCATGTACAGCAAAGCTCCCTTTTGCAAAGTCCTATCTTCCCTACCTGCCTGCTGGGAAATTCTTTCTATCTGCACCCCCTCTTCACATTCTGGAACTCATGGCCTAAGACAGCTAGTCAATACTATGGCCCAGAAACCCAGTTCATATTGACTTTGTTTTCAGGAAGACTCCATAAAAAGCCACCTGGGAATTTCTGTCACTTTGAGTTCCCTCCTGAGGTATCCCAGCTGTCTCTGTTCAAATGAGCCTCCACCCACTGCATTTCAACACTTATCCCAGGAGTTACACACCAGGATTGAAGAGTATGTGTGTGTATATTGGTGTGATTCATTTCTGGCCCGAAATTCCACCTGGAGTGACAATCATTTTATTATATATATTATTGGGACAAATAGCAAAAAAATTAAAAATAAATAAAATGAAATCTTTGTAGCCACAGAGAATACATTTGAAAACTTTTCTTTTGACAGTTTGTTTCCGAGCCACCTTTATCCCCACGTGGTTCCTTTTCACTGTATTATATAATTTTGCAATGTTAATTTGGTTCATCATTCATTTGTTCATTGACACTGTCAAATGATGCAATTGTTTATGTGGAATACAGATTTTATTGTGTTTGAGAAATATGATGTGCAGTAAAATCTGCATGTCACCAAGTATAATAGAATCCTTATGTTGTGACATAAACTAAACACCTTTTTTTAAACGCCTATGGGAAATCGCTTTGACGTGTTCTGTGCCAACTCATTTCAACAGAAATAATGAATATTATGAAGAAGCAATGCATATCATCAGCTATTATTTTTGTTAGTTGCAAAACTAATAGCTTGTTATAGTAGTAATAGCTTGTTAGTTGTAGCTTGTAGTTAGAAATCATATGCACGTTCATGAATGAAAATGAAAGTTCTGTAGTGATTACTTAGACACATCAAATTCATCATTACAGATGCATGTTTTCCTTACGTCCCCTGAAGATATCTTCATTTAATTAATATGAGCATCTCTGGATTTCATTATTTGATCTTAAAATCAAACACATAATACTGCCAAAGGTGTCTGGATATGATGATTTATGAAGGGCTTTGTATGAATAACCAATAAGGACTATTTCAACATGAAAACCTTCTGTTTGAGATGGATAAGAGACCAACATTCTGCAGAGACACAGAAGTATGTTCTTTATTTGTTGACACCTTTTGTTTTCTTTTGTATGAGTAGGGGTCTCTTCCAAATACATATATATACTGAGCTGATGGTCAACAAGCCAAAACAGGACCAGTTGGGCATACTGTATATATATATATATCCTCCCTGTATATAAATTACTTATATGTTCAGATATGACAATCACAGCAGTTTGTAGGTTATGAGCAAACCGGATGCCAGATTCTGTCATTCTAACATTTTATATGGAAAGTGAAAGTTGTTGTAACTCAATATTTTAACTAGGTGGGAGACTAGAAAAATGATTCTAGAAAAACATTCTGAAAACATTATTGTCTTTGAAACAAATGATAAACTGTGAATTTAACAGACCTACAAGATGCCTTTAACTTGCAAGGCCACAGACTAGAGTCATAATCATAAAAGCAAAACGCCCAGCAATATTACATTAATTAATGTTTGTACACATTTTTGCATTTTTGAAACTAAATAATATAATTATAGTGGGAATTTTGTCAAAAGATGAACCTATAGGGAGCACAGCAATTGGTGGTGTTCAGAGAGATGTGCAGTTGAAAAATGTAAACTAGATTAGATGCTATATAAACATACTTCCTATATTTCAAACATTGGAATACTTGAAATATAGGAAGCTGGGGAAGTTTAACCTGCCACAGGTGCTGCTTCTGCAGTTCTACTGTCAGTCATAGAGTCTGTCCTCTGAACTTCTATAACTGTCTGGGTTGGCTCAGCTCAAATCAGACCAAATCAGACGTCAGAAGACTACCGTATCTCACTCAGGAAAGTTAATAGTAAATCAGGATCAAGAACAACTGAGTGCCCTGGAGCAAACATATTTCAAATTGTATTCTTCCATAGGGTCCTGTGTCAGCCAAGCAACTGTCATTGAGATGAATGGAAATGTTAACGGATAGCTTTCTCTTGACTCAAGAGATCAGAGTCACCCATCGCTGAAACAAATTTCAGTTTGTTCACAAATGAAATGCTCTAGTTTCTTCAGTTAATTTGCAATATGCCTTGTTCGTCCAGTTTCTTCACAAATTACATATCTTGCTCAATGCCACTCCACTCATTTATTCATTCAGACTCACATCACCACCTCGCTCTGTGCAAGGGCATATTTGTGAAATGATACGCTCTGTCACAGCCCACACTATAAGTCTATTTGCTTAGTCTCTGATTTGTTTGCACTACAATATTTACTACACACGAGTCAAGTGCATGGAAGTGAACAAGAATAACTTAAAAGATTGGTCTAAAACAATTAAAACAACACTAATTGATATTCAATCGGTGTGATGTGGTGTTGTGACAGTGATTGATTCCCTATCTGTTAAAGGCCCTGTTCATTTAGATCTGTCTGTTCCAATCCCACTACAGCTTCCAGATGTGTTAATTGTTGCTCATTTGTGTGTAATAGGTGGTATGCGTTCTAAAAGTTGGCAGTACGACTATGCTACGGGAAACTGTTTCACAAATGAACGCAGGTCCAGGCGTGGAATATTTGCAGTCACAGTCACACACGGGTGTTTGAATTGGGATTTTGCAGAATTACAGACAAATAGTCAAGCCTCTAATCACATTTAAATACATTTTTATCACATTTAATTGCAAGTTTTTGGGATTTATCATGGGAATGTGCGGATTAGAGAGTGGTTAGATATCAGTACATACCAGCCACAGCCATATCGCCCTGCAGCCCAAGACTGGTTGCCCACTGAAGCTAAGCAGGTTGAGCCTGGTCAGTACCTGGATGGGAGACCTCCTGGGAAAAATAGGTTGTTGTTGGAAGAGGTGTTAGTGAGGCCAGTAGGGTGTGAGATGAGGATGAGTTGTTAAACCGAGGTCCTGACTCTCTGTGGTTAATAATAATAATACTACATTGAGTTGGTTCTGCAGTCCATGTTCTCCTTTGCCACTTGCCCCAGCCAAATGACTCCAGCACAAATGCTGCCAAAAATGAGCAAAGTCTTGGCTACAGTGTATATTGATTTGCAGAACCTATCTTGGCTTTTACACATAACCCCACTGGGGTCTTATTGTACAATCTGACAAGCAACAAATTAAAGAGCAATTGGGCTTCAATGTCATTGTGTCATTCAAGAGATGGAGGTTGACATGGTGCAGTTTACCACTGCAAACCTAGAAGATTCTGTGAATACACTTTTATTGCATTTTGTTTTTCTTCCAACAATAATTTTGATAAAATATGTATCTTAAGTAAGTATTTTTCTATATTTCATCTCACTCAGGAAAGTTAATAGTAAATCAGGATCAAGAACAACTGAGTGCCCTGGAGCAAACATATTTCAAATTGTATTCTTCCATAGGGTCCTGTGTCAGCCAAGCAACTGTCATTGAGATGAATGGAAATGTTAACGGATAGCTTTCTCTTGACTCAAGAGATCAGAGTCACCCATCGCTGAAACAAATTTCAGTTTGTTCACAAATGAAATGCTCTAGTTTCTTCAGTTAATTTGCAATATGCCTTGTTCGTCCAGTTTCTTCACAAATTACATATCTTGCTCAATGCCACTCCACTCATTTATTCATTCAGACTCACATCACCACCTCGCTCTGTGCAAGGGCATATTTGTGAAATGATACGCTCTGTCACAGCCCACACTATAAGTCTATTTGCTTAGTCTCTGATTTGTTTGCACTACGTTAGTGAGGCCAGTAGGGTGTGAGATGAGGATGAGTTGTTAAACCGAGGTCCTGACTCTCTGTGGTCATTAAAAATCCCATGGCACTTCTCGAAAAGAGTAGGGGTGTAACCCCGGTGTCCTGGCCAAAATTGCCCCCCTGGCCTTTGTCAATCATGGCCTCCTAATAATCCCCAACCACTTGGTTGGCTCTATGACTCTCTCTCCTCTCCACCTGTAGCTGGTGTGTGGTGAGCGCACTAGCGCAGTTGTGCTGTGGCTGCCGTCATATCATCCAAGTGGATGCTGCACACTGGTGGTGGTTGAGGAGAGACCCCCCCCCACACATAATTGAAGAGCGCTTTGGGTGTACAACAATAAACAATGAAGCGAATATATAAATGCCTCATTCATTCAGTAGATATTTGTTGTGCTACTGTATGTGAAATTTGTATTTACTGAAATGTTTCAGCAGACACCATCTTACAACGAGATTGAATTACACATTGAAAAGATTGCCACCTGCATGTTCATTCTCAAACTTGATATTTTCATACAATGTGTCTTTCAAGTTTCTTTGTTTAGCGCAACAGTATGCCTCCCTTGTAACACAACAGGAGGCCTATAACACATCATTGTTGTTTTTATGACAGCTTTTTCAATAGACACTTTTATTCTTGACTGCTTTCTTGCTCAGTTGTTCTTGTGTGAGCTATATGCCTTCTGTTTATTATATTCCATTGTAACTTTTGAAAGCTGTGCCTTGGAATAACTTCCAGAAGTAAGAAAACTCAAGAGAGGGACGTCACTGAGGTGGATGCGTCATTGTAACCACAGAAGTGTGACACAATAGCCTTGATTTCAAGAAGACTATAGTTAGTATTCTAAGATGATTTTGATCACAAATGTGTTCTAGACTGGCTTCAACCCAGCAACAACAACAACAAGAAAAAATCCAAGTCCAATTGGTATGTATTGCAGTGCAACTTATTGACACTTATGCTACATTTACTAACAAGCTACAATATTTTTTTTTGCATTACAGCATTACAGCATTGCTAAGTGTATTTCAATGTAGAAGTCATACAACCATGGTTTAGTTCATGCATTGTCTAACTGTAGTTTTTTTTCACCAGCTGATTGTATTTAGGTTTCAAAATTCATTAAACTTGTGATGACAAAAACACATTTTTGCTGGTCATAGACCTTATTTCCTGCAATAATTCAAATGCCAATGGAAAAATCCAATTGGATTTGTGGAGAGAATCAGGATGAAGCTTCTGTGTTGGCCTACAAAAATAGGTCATCCCTGCAGCATTACCCCTCACTAAACCCACGGTACGCATTAGGGGGTCTATTAAACTCAGTGGGCTCAGGAGAGGTAAGAGAGATGCTGCCGCCGACTGAAACTATAACCGCTGGTGTTGCTGTCAGACAGTGTCAGTGAATGATTATATAAAATGTAATCAAGACCTTATTTCCTGCAATAATTCAAATGCCAATGGAAAAATCCAATTGGATTTGTGGAGAGAATCAGGATGAAGCTTCTGTGTTGGCCTACAAAAATAGGTCATCCCTGCAGCATTACCCCTCACTAAACCCACGGTACGATGACAAAAACACATTTTTGCTGGTCAAAGACCTTATTTCCTGCAATAATTCAAATGCCAATGGAAAAATCCAATTGGATTTGTGGAGAGAATCAGGATGAAGCTTCTGTGTTGGCCTACAAAAATAGGTCATCCCTGCAGCATTACCCCTCACTAAACCCACGGTACGCATTAGGGGGTCTATTAAACTCAGTGGGCTCAGGAGAGGGAAGACAGATGCTGCCGCCGACTGAAACTATAACCGCTGGTGTTGCTGTCAGACAGTGTCAGTGAATGATTATATAAAATGTAATATTATTGACCCTTTTCCTTAGCAGTGTTAATTTCGTCAATGAAGGCGACAACAAAAAATATTCGTTAACGAACATTTTTTTTGTGACTAAGACGAGACGTTGACAAACTAAAACTAATATCTGATGATAAAAACTATGACGAAATTTATGCCGCGTCTTCGTTAACAAGACGAGATGCGACTATAATGTTATTTGAGGACTTTCAGATATTCAAAATACATCCTATAGGCTCCTGTCTTGTCCTTCAAAATGTGCATCCCTGTCATTGGATTGCATATCTAGTCTCAGTATGGCAGCCACAGTGGATGGATAGGCTACCAAATTGCAATCTAGCGATCTGAAACAATGGCCTTAGCACCCGACGTGGTAGGGATAAGGTGACCAGATGTCCCGTTTTTCCCGGGAGTCCGCATTAGGGGGTCTATTAAACTCAGTGGGCTCAGGAGAGGTAAGACAGATGCTGCCGCCGACTGAAACTATAACCGCTGGTGTTGCTGTCAGACAGTGTCAGTGAATGATTATATAAAATGTAATATTATTGACCCTTTTCCTTAGCAGTGTTAATTTCGTCAATGAAGGCGACAACAAAAAATATTCGTTAACGAACATTTTTTTTGTGACTAAGACGAGACGTTGACAAACTAAAACTAATATCTGATGATAAAAACTATGACGAAATTTATGCCGCGTCTTCGTTAACAAGACGAGATGCGACTATAATGTTATTTGAGGACTTTCAGATATTCAAAATACATCCTATAGGCTCCTGTCTTGTCCTTCAAAATGTGCATCCCTGTCATTGGATTGCATATCTAGTCTCAGTATGGCAGCCACAGTGGATGGATAGGCTACCAAAATGCAATCTAGCGATCTGAAACAATGGCCTTAGCACCCGAAGTGGTAGGGATAAGGTGACCAGATGTCCCGTTTTTCCCGGGAGTCTTCGTTGTCGATTAACTTAAAGTTAGTGAAGGCGGGATAGACGGAATCGCGTTGATAGAAGTGCTCTCTCTCGCGCACGCTCCACTTCTTCAGTTCTCATATACAGATATCAAAGTAGCGATCAGTTCTTTGTGCCCTTTTCCTTAGCAGTGTTAATTTCGTCAATGAAGGCGACAACAAAAAATATTCGTTAACGAACATTTTTTTTGTGACTAAGACGAGACGTTGACAAACTAAAACTAATATCTGATGATAAAAACTATGACGAAATTTATGCCGCGTCTTCGTTAACAAGACGAGATGCGACTATAATGTTATTTGAGGACTTTCAGATATTCAAAATACATCCTATAGGCTCCTGTCTTGTCCTTCAAAATGTGCATCCCTGTCATTGGATTGCATATCTAGTCTCAGTATGGCAGCCACAGTGGATGGATAGGCTTCCAAAATGCAATCTAGCGATCGTAAACAATGGC